GAAAACTCTTGCCAAGGCAAAAAAATTTAGGCTAACTGATCGACCTTCCAAACGTTCGGCAGGTTGACCAGAATAGTGCTATTTTTATTTATTATTTTTTTTACAATTGGCACCTGTTATTTTTTATATTTTAAATAAAAAAAAATTGAAAATTTTTAAAATTTTTTATAAGCTTTTAATAGAATTTTGAGTTGTGTGTTTGATTATGAATTTTAAGTTTTTGTATCAAATATCATATGTCACATTAAAAATTCTCCACTCAATTCAAAACTCATTTACCAAACAAATTTTTCACACTCAAATCATAATTTCAAAACTCACTGATTCAAAATACAATTCTATTATCAAATTATATTTAAAAAACTCCACCAAACGCTACCATAATTTTTATGGACTCCACAAATTAACAATCAATCACTCTCTTCAAACCCCTAAATGGTATAACTTCCAGCCCAATCAACTTATTTAAAATTTTTTGAAGGTAAATTATAAATATACGGGATTTGTTGAAAATATGAATTATCTTATTCAGTTTTAAAAATTACAACAATAAAATTATATTAATTGAAATATATTTTTAATATTATTAAAAAATTATTAATTGACTTAATAATTGACTAATAAAATAAATTATTTATTATACGATTAAAATTTTAAAAAGGGGAGCATGACACAAAAAAATATATATATTTTATAAAAATTTTGAAGTTGTATTTATAATTTATCTAATTTTTTAAAATAATTTGGCACAAAATGTTAAGTCTAAAGAAGTGAGAAAGAACACTATGAGAACCGGCCAATGATCTGTGAACATGTCACCCAAAGCCGTCTTTGTTGACTCCGCACAATCACAAGTCTTTATCTTTATCTTTATCTCATGTCAAAGAAAGCTGTAAGAAATTATTTTTTACTCGTAGACGGTGGTGCGCTAATTTGGTATTGATGGGTTAAAATAGTATTTTAAACTTATTATAAATTAACTGAAATAATAGAGTGTGATGTTTTTTTTTGTTAAGTTTAGGGATAACCAATCTTAAAAACACTTAACAAATATCAAATAATAAAGGATAATTTACAAATATATGTTTGTTTAAAATACGAATTTTCTCGTGTAATTTGAAAAATTATAAATATTTCTTTGTCATAATTTTTTATTTAACAAAATTAATTAAAAAAATAAAATTATTAACTGTTCTCCTATGTAATAATAAAATTACGTGAATTATTATTTGAAATAAATTTTTGATATCATCAAAAACTGATAATTGAATTTATGATATTAATAAAATGAGTCAGTTGTTATGAAATTCAAAATTTCAGGGGATGCAATGTAATTTCTAAAATTATATAAACAATTCGTAATCCACCGGACTGTTGATCATGGGATTAGATGTCTAAATTGAATTATTTTATTAAATTTTATGTTTGTTTAATCATAAGATTATATGTTTGGATTGGACTATTGAATCCAATGTGTATCATATTTTATTTAATTGTTTGCTAGAACTTTTAAAAAAATTGAATAAATAGAACATCAATAAAAAATTATATAAATTTATTTTAATTTTTAGTTGAGATTTTTTAATTTTATTTTAATTTGAACTTTTAAATAAATTGAACTTTTAATTTTATTTTTAATTAAATAAATTGAACATTAATTTTATTTTTAATTAGATAAATTAAATAAATTGAACTTTTAATTTTATTTTTAATTAGATAAATTGAATAAATTGAACTTTTAATTTTATTTTAGTTCAGATTTTAATTTTATTTCAATTAAATTGAATAAATTGAACTTTTAATTTTATTTTAGTTCAGATTTTAAATTTATTTCAATAAGTACAGAATAATCTCAATTCTAAGCTTAGACTACGTTTTTTGTCCTACACTCGCTGGGATAGAGTTGTCCTATATATAGGGGACTATTAGTTCGAATGGACTCACAGTCCGGTACAAAATTTTTGAACCAAACAATGAACTATTTTATTCACCAAATTGTGAGTCCTATCCTATACTCACATCTCTCCAAATTGAGAGTCATGGTGGTCAATTAGGCTAGGCCTAGTTGGTTTAGTTATACCTTATGTAGTATTTGGTTATGACTGATTTTTTTTTTTTTTTTTATAGTTATTATCTTTATAATAATCAATATAACAAATATCATAAGGGAGATTTATTAGAAAATCATTTTTCAAGTGTTTGTATCTTAATTAGTCCATAACATATTATTGTATTCTAATAAGTCATATTATTTGAATATTTAATCTATCAAATCCTAATTATCATATTTAAAATATTTTATGAACATTTCTACCATTACAAATATTTTTTGAACAGTTAACAATTTGGTTATATGAACATTCATATTTTACAATGTGAATATTCACATTGACAGTATAAACATTCATATTGATAATGTGAATATTCACATTGATGGTGTTAACATTCACATTACAGAACATTCACACTGTAAATGTGAATATTATTAAGGGTATTTTGATAACTGTGTCACCCAAAAGACTTATTAGAATATAAGAAATTAATGTGGATTAAGGTCTCGTTTGGCATGCGAGTGTTTTAGCTAAAAAGTTATTACAAAAATCAAAAAGTCTATAACTTGTACAAAAAAGTCAAAGATTCATTTTTCTCTCTACTTTTTGCATATCTTTTTGTAAAAAAATTAAAAAGTCATTTCAAACATACTAATTTTTTTAACCTTATATTTTAGTTAAAAAGTAAAAAAATTATTAAAATAATATATTCCTAAACGAGGCCTAAATGAAACATAAGTATGTAAAAGAAAATTTATGAAAAAGTAGCCCATATCATAACTTACCTATAGTTATGTGCATTTTTTAAATTATTTATATATCAAACTTTGTGCGATCAAGCTTTGATTGAAGTTGGTTTGAAATCTATTCAATGACAAAATAAATAAAATTTAGGGTTAGTCACGTTTTACCCCCTTCAATTATTGTTGAATTTTCTTCATCAATTTTAAAATCTATCAAATATCAAAATTGTTTCCCTTTCACACCCATCCAAAATAGGAGTCTTTTTATCCTTTTTGTTTTATAGTTGAATAGTCTAAATATATAATTTTCAAATTAAAATGATAAGATGATATTCAGATAGTATGTTAGCATTAGTTGATCAGAATTAAATGTATGAAATTAGACACAAACCTTCATTATATATGAAATAGAAACAGTAAAGTAATTTTATTTTCAATCTCATGGAATTTGATTAACAAACCCAAGTCCCATAACACTTTTTCCAAATAAATATAATTTTTATGGACTCCATGGATTAACAATCCAATCACTCTCTTGGAACCCTAAACAGTGTAACTTCAAGCCCAATCAACTTATTTAAAATATTTTAAACGTAAATTATAAATATATTAGATTTGTTTAAAATACAAATTGTTTTATGTAGTTTTAGAAATTAAAACATTAAAATTTCTAAAAGTGTTAATTAAAATATATTTTTAATATCATTAAAAACTATTAATTAATTTAATAATTGACTAATGAAAGAAAATATTTATTATGTAATTAAAAATTTGAAAAGACTTAATGCAATTTCTAAAATGACAAGAAAAATTAATATTTTAAATACATCTCAAAAATATATTTATAATTTATTTAATTTTTTTTAATCATTTGGCTCAAAATGGTTAGTCAAAGGAAGTGAGAAAGAACACTTTGAGAACCGGCCAATGATCTGTGAACATGTCACCCAAAGCCATCTTTGTTGACGCCCCACGCTATCACAAATCTTTATCTTTATCTCAGGTCAAAGAAAAGCCGTAATTCACCCGGAATTTTTTTTTTTACTCGTAGGCATTATCATGTGGTGCTCTAATTTGGTGTTAATTGCTGAAAAGAGTATTCTAAACTTATTATAAATTAATTAAAATAATAAAATCTAATACTTTTTGTTAAATTTATAAGGAATAACTAATCTAAAAAAGAAGAGAAAATTAGTCAAATATTCATTTTTAACTTTATATAGTAAGAGAGGTTTAAGATATTTTTTATTTTTTTTATTTTTATTAACTAAGATTCCTCAATATTTTCATAGAAAAAATTTAATTCAGATAAATTTTACCTGATTCAGAGAAATTTTACCTGACTCAGAGAAATTTCGATCTCGACTCAGAGAAATTATCACAGATAAATTTCAAAATTTCTTAGAGTCGGGGCAAAATTTCTCTGCGTCAGACAAAATTACTTTGAGTTAAATTTTCTCTGTAGAAATGTTGAAGGATCTTAATTATTATAAAAATATTGTATGTCTTTATCTTATAAAATCTTAATATTAGAGACTTTAAAAAAATTCTCAATTTTTTTTATAACAAATATCAAATAATAAACGGTAAATTATACATACACCTCTTGAAATTTATTTAAAATATAAATTTTTTTATGTGATTTGGAAAATTAAAATATCAGTTTATCATAATTTTTTATTTAACATAAGTAATTAAGAAATAAAATTACTAAGGCCTAGTTTGGGAATACTAAATAAGTACACTTTTTGACTTTTTATGAAATATAAGTTGGGTTTGGGTTGGGTTTGAAGTGATGTGTTAGAGAGGTGATGTGACTTAAATAAGATGATGTGACTTAAATAGGATAATGACTTTTTGACTTTTTGTCTTTTTTCAATCATGCCAAACTTGGCCTAAGTACTTTACAATATAATAATAAAATTACTTGAATTATTATTTGAAATAAATTTATAATATCAATAAAAATTAATAATTGAATTTCTAATTTATTAATAAAATAAGTTATTTATTATAAAATTTAAAATTTCAAAAGACTATATGTAATTTTTAAAATTACAAAAGTAACTCATATTCATATTTTAAATAAATTTTAAAAAGTGTATTTATAATTTACCCCGTAATAAATGGTGAGAGACAATAATAGAAGAAGAATACCAAATAATCATTACTAATTCACTACCCTTTTTAGTGACTTACCCCATTAGAATTAAAGAGTAGGAAAGCGAGAGGGAAAAGAAAGCCCAATACCAAAAAACAACCCAACAAATTTACAATAATAACCACACACACCCTTGGGAAAACACTAGAAATTCACTTTCATTTCGTACAAGTATTATTTATTACTATATTATATATTTTTGTGGTTTTTCAGCTGTAATTACCAAGTTCCAAGTAGTGATGATGCTGGAGCCTGCAGGATTGTTACAAAATTCAGCTGTCGGTAGCGGAGGAGCCACCGTCACCACCGCCGTTGCTTCGGCCGTGAATCTGGAGAATGAGGAGGAGGGTGGTGGTGGGTTTGGGGAGGAGGAGACAACCAAAGTAGAAGAGGGTGATCGGAGTTTAACCGGTAACCGGTGGCCTCGAGAAGAGACCTTGGCTTTGTTGAAGATAAGGTCTGATATTGACCTTGCATTTCGTGACTCTACTCTCAAAGCTCCTCTCTGGGATCAGGTTTCTAGGTATGTATATGAGTTTCACCTCTCTCTTACCTTTAATTTTCTTTTCTTTTCTTTTCTTTTCTTTCTCTAGAGAGAGATTAATTCACTTGGAACAGGAAAGGAGGAAGGAGAGGAGGAAACCATTCACACATAATCAATCTATGGGAAATATATATATATATATATATATATCTATACCTATTACTAGCCTACAAAATTGTAGAAAAGAAACATTTTCTTGGCTTTGGAGCTATGAATTCACTGCTCTATTGTCCAGGTTGGATTCCCAATTTTATGATTCAGAATTTCCAGAAATAAAATATATTTATGGGTTTTACTTTACTTCTTGTTTTCTCATTTCCTTCCATCTAATTAATTTTCAGTGATTGATATATACTCACAGGATTCAAAATGGCTCTTCTAATCTTATATTTTGTGTATTATTTGTGTTTTCTTGTTCTAGGCTTTGAGTGTCCTCTATTCTTGTTCTTTTTGTTTTATGGAATCTTAGTATTTACCAAGTACATACATGTCTTATTCAATTTAGAATTCATCTGTGCTGAAATTAAAGTAGAAAGAAGGAAGAAGACCACAAATGAATGAAGTTTTTTTTGGGACTACTTTGTTGTTGTTTTTTCAGGAAATTAGCTGCGCTTGGGTACCATCGAAATGGCAAGAAATGCAAAGAGAAGTTTGAAAACATCTATAAGTATCACAAGAGAACCAAAGAATGCCGATCGAGCAGACAAAAAAGCAAGAGTTACCGATTTTTTGAGCAATTAGAGCTTTTTGCCAGCCAGTCCTCACTTCCATCGGTTATTCAACCATCTCTGACGGAAACAACTATGGCGACAACGGAGATGACAATGACCGACATGGAAATAAAGCCCTCTAGTGTTGCACAAGAACAAGAACAAGAACAAGATCATCATCAACATCAACATGTTACAATTCCTTGTTCAATCCCAAACCACCCCACTAGCAGTGCAGCAGCAGAGCTCGTGATGTCTACCTCTACATCGACTACATCGACATCTGGAAAAGAATCCGAAATCAATGGCAAGAAGAGAAAATTTGTGAATTACTTTGAGAGATTAATGAAGGAAGTTTTAGAAAAGCAAGAGAAATTGCAAGAAAAGTTTATAGATGCATTAGAAAAGTGTGAAAAGGATCGAATAGCGAGAGAAGAAGCTTGGAAAATGCAAGAATTGGCTAGAATAAAGAGAGAGCAAGAGATGATAGCAGAAGAAAGAGCCATTGCAGCAGCTAAAGATGCAGCTTTGATTTCATTCTTGCAAAAGATTTCCGAGCAAGCAAGTCCGGTGCAATTGCCACAAAACCCAACTCCAACTCCAATTCCTGTTTCAATTCCAATTCCACCTGAGAAAGTTAATGAGAAACAAGGGAATGATATTATTACTGAGAATTCTACTCAGGTTATTAGCTCTTCGCGGTGGCCTAAAGCAGAAGTTGAAGCTTTGATCAGGCTTAGGACTAATCTTGACTTGGAATATCAAGACAATGGACCTAAGGGCCCTCTATGGGAGGAAGTTTCATTGTCAATGAAGAAGATTGGTTACAATCGGAACGCAAAGAGATGTAAAGAGAAGTGGGAGAATATAAACAAGTACTTCAAGAGGGTAAAAGATAGTAACAAGAAAAGGCCTGAAGATTCAAAGACATGTCCATACTTCGAAATGCTCGAGTCTATCTATGAAAGGAAGTCCAAGAAGGTTGATAATTCAGATAATTCTGGTTGTTACTCAAAACCTGAGGACATTTTGATGCTAATGATGGGCCAGCAACAACAACAGCCACCACCGCAGCAGCAGCAGCAGCAACAACAACAACAAAGGCCAGAATCATTAACAGAAGATGGTGAAAGTGAAAACACTGATCAAAATCAAGAAGAAAAGAGAAGTGGGAGAATATAAACAAGTACTTCAAGAGGGTAAAAGATAGTAACAAGAAAAGGCCTGAAGATTCAAAGACATGTCCATACTTCGAAATGCTCGAGTCTATCTATGACAGGAAGTCCAAGAAGGTTGATAATTCTGGTTGTTACTCAAAACCTGAGGACATTTTGATGCTAATGATGGGCCAGCAACAACAACAGCCACCGCAGCAGCAGCAGCAGCAACAACAACAACAACAACAACAACAACAAAGGCCAGAATCATTAACAGAAGATGGTGAAAGTGAAAACACTGATCAAAATCAAGAAGATAACGACGGTGATGATGACGACGACGATGACAACGGAGACGATTATCAAATTGTTGCTAACAAACCCTTTTCCGTGACAAACATGGAGTGAGGAGGAGAGACAAGATGGAGAAGCTTTTCAATCAAAGAGGCTGAAGTGGGTGTGAATCATTTGAGAGGTGGGGTTGGGTGTTGGGGCAGAGTCATTGTAGTAGTGGCTGTCCCTTGAAGATGTGGGTCAGATTCCCACTGGCTTGAGGTGGGGTTCCGGGTACTACATTTGATATAATGGATGCATCCTATTGGAAGTAGCAAGTTTCTTGGTATATATACTAGTATATATTCATCAATCATTATCATCATTTTATTAGGTAAATAGTATATATAGAGGAAGAATAATATGGTTGGTGTGTGAATTTGTGATGTAACAAACCCCATGTGTGTAAAAGTTGGAAATGGTTGGTTGTATTTGTTTGTATCAATAAAGGCTATTCATTAAAAATTATAAAACAATGGAAGGGTAGTCACGGCATTATCTGCGGAGCAACCAGTTCAACTTAAAAATGTGTTTCGACGTTTTGGATTGTTTCACAAAAATATTTTTGATTATTATTTTCATTTATTTTGTTGATTTTTTTATTTACAAGTAACAACACAATAAAAAATAATGTCAGTTTTGATGGAGTGGATTGGAGTTTTGTAATAAGAAAGAAAATGAAAAAAAGATGTATCACGAGACAAAAAAAAAATTTATTTTAAGATTTAATGTGTGTTGTTCTTATTAATAAATTTACATTAAGATATAAATATAATATGAATTAAAATTTTAAAATTTTAAGTGGTCATACTAAATTATTATTTGAGTGCAAATAGGAGCATCCTAAAACTTCTCATCTCAAACTGAGTTTAAAAATTAAAAGGGCACTAACCCACAGGTTCCACATACAAAGTTCAAAACTCATTTATTCTCCAAATAAAATATTTGTACCAATTAATCCTATATATTTTTAATTGTTACCAAAAAAAATCTACTTTTTTATTTTTTTATTTTTAAATTTAAGGACGTTGCAGAACTTATCACCGTCGGACTCGTTGAACTTTCGTCAAACAATTACTGAAGGCTTGTCAGAATATTCAACATTAGTTAGAAAGTCGCTAAAGTATTATAAACGTTGTGTTTTTCAATTTATGTAGGGTTTAAGTAAATAATCTCCTAGATTAATCGAACTACAAAGCATGCCTTGAAATTGTAAAAATTTCACAGTTTAACTACATTATTCTATTAAGCATTTCTTCTTATTAATCAAACTAAAAAACATGTTATGAAATTACAAAATTTTATAGTTTTAAAGCATATTATGAAACTGCACAAAAATTTTACAGTTTTAAAGTATGATTTATTTCAGCACTTGAAAAATTTTACAGCTCTCATCACTTGTAACTAAAACTCAAAAATAATTTGTTCAAAATTTTAAAATTTTCTTTATTAAAACAAGAAAAAAGAAGTGTGTAACAGAGAAAAAGAAAAAACAAACTAAGAGATCGAATGACAGAAACGAACATAGAGAGATGATTGTGCTTGGCAACATTTTTTGTTTAGATTTAACTAAATCTGATGTAGATACTATAAATCTGAACATTCCGATAAGTCTTGTCTTGTGATCTTGGCCAGATTTGAGTATATCTATATCAATATCATTGGAAACTCATCTCATTCGTCGTCGGTGAGGACGAAGTAAGGAATTGGTGGTTGATGATTGTCAGTGAATCCTAATTGATAGTGGTCATCAATCGCTAGTCGCTAATAAGTATATGTCAAAAAGTAGCGCTAGGACTTTTGAGTCTATACAAAAATTTGTGAACTAAATAAAACATGCGTTGAGTAATTTGCCCAAAATTAAATGAGTTAAAAATTTTAGCCCAGCCTGTTGTAAATATATATATATATATATATATATTGTTTTTCATGTCTTCAACGTATTGGATTGGACAAGTTGGGCAACCCCACAGCCACCCCTAACTCTAATCTGCAAAAGAAAAAAATCCTTGGTAATTTTATGGCCAGTTTATGTGGTGGTTTAATTGGATTTAAATAGTAAAGTAAATTATAAATATATTTTTTTAGATTTATTTAAAATACGAATTATTTTCTGTGACTATGAAAATTACATCTCACCCCCTTCAAATTTCTAATTACATAACAATTAACTCATTTTATTAATAAATTATCAAGTGAATTAATAGTTTTAATAATATTAGAAATATATTTAAATTAATAGTTTAAATAATTTTATTATTGTATAAGAAAGTAGTTAGAATTTTTTTTTATTTTACTTTTATAACTGTGTTAAATAAAAAAATTTAACAAAATATATTTATAATTTTTAAAATTATAAAAAATAATTTATATTTTAAGCAAACTTCATAAATGTATTTGTATTTTATCCTGATTCTTCCCCAAAAAAAGTCAATAAGTGCAGCCTCTTAAGTGGATGGATGCAAAGCTTCCGCCATTAAGGGGTATTATTTTTGGACTGGCCCACGAAAATGTCTGCCCTCCCTCAAGCGATTCTATTTAAACCCAAAATATATTTTAATATGTTCAACTTAAATTCATAAATTTTAATTTTTATAATATCTTAATATAAATTTATTAATAAAGTCAATACATATTAAATTTTAAAATAATTTTTTTTTCTTATGGTACACTTTGATCAGATATTTCTATTCAAATCTCTTTATCTTTTTCTTCAAGAGATCAAAGTTATTTTTTCTTCTTCATCTCCCTCTAAAATTCCAATTTACCCTACCAAAACTCACTATCATCATCAATATCATTATTTTTTTTATTATGTTGAAACTCTAAACTCTAAAAGAAAATTTGAACAAAATTAAATCATAAATGAGAGTAATAATCAAAATAATTTTTTGAAACAACCTATTAAAAAGGAGGTAAGTATTCATATAAAGGGGTTTTACAATTTTTGTAGTGCACTATTAATTATTTTTTATATCTTTTTGTTGGACAAAAATTAAAGGGCCAAGTAATTAAATTAACAATAACATATTATTAGAGTTGTTCTTATTTTGTCATTTAAATATTACATTATTTGAGAACTACTCTTTCTTGTTAGTGCTTGATACTTATGCGCTTGTAAGTTTGGTTTTTACTTTTTCACGAACATTTTTGTGGATAATTTACAATGTAAAAGTTCTTTTTTCTGTATTGAAAAGTTTTATAATATTTGTATAAAAGTTTGGTTTTTCTATATTTATAATACTTATGTACTTATAAGGTTGGTTTTTTTTTTCTTCTGTATTTGAGAATTATTTTCTGTATTGAAAAGTTTTTTAAATAATTTAATTTTTTTAGTTTGTTTATTATTTATTATTTGGATTTACCTTGAAGATAATTTAAGAAAAATAATAAGGTGTAATGAAAGTAAAATAAAATTTTAAATAATTAAATAAAATGTACTTAAAAATTAAGAATAAATAATAATTTTTTTAGTGTAAATAGAATCCCCCTCCCTCAAGCACCTCCGACCCATTCTTCATATTTTTATTTTTGAAGGATTTTTACACTCAATCCATTCTCTAAATCTATCTCTATTTGAGAAGATGATAGATTGATCCTCTAAATATAGAGGGACAAATGAAAAATAGAGAACCTCTAAAACACTATTTATTTTACTTAAATACCCTTTATCCTGAAGATTTGTTTCCTTTAAAATTTATATACCAAACATATCCTTTTGGGCCCCGTTTGTTTCCAGAGATAGAATGGAGGGGATTGATAGTGAGGGGATTAGTAGTGAGGAATTATTAAATTATTTTTATATAAAATAATAAAACATTAAAATAAGTTTAATATTAAATATATTTGACAAAAATATAAAGATTAAAAATTTAAAGGATGATCAATCACAGAAATCTAAAAGAGCTGGGTTGCTAGGTTATGTTTTTATCGAACGATAGGTAAGGAAAATTAATGGAGGGAAAAAGGGATGGTAGTTAGGAAAATATTTAAAGAAGAAAATAGAGATTTATGATTGGAGTTTAGATGAATACTAATATACTCTATATACACTTTTTGAATAAAAAAATTATTTTTATCTACTAATTGAGAGTATTGAGATGGAGATGCTCTTAGTGATTCCTTTGATAGATCCGCACACAATGCAACAATTACATTTGTTTGATTTGGTTTTTGAAGTTTATATTTAAATTTTTTTAAATAATACAAATAAATTTAATTTAGTGAAAAAAGTAATAAATTAAAAGTATTCATCATTTTCATATAATTTATATTCTATGAAGGCAAAAATAATTTTTAAAAATTAAAAAATATCTTTTGTGATTGTTTTTATCAAACAAAAATCTATTTTCTTTAAAAAAAAAAAAAAAAAATTACAATTAAAACCAAACAGCAGGCTCACACGTATATAGAGGTAGGTCCATACACACTCTCTATAAGAGCATGTATGAGTAAAAAGTGTTTCGAAGACGATAGTGAACATGTAATGCAAGATGTGAAAGAAAATAATTATTGATTTTTTTTTTCTTTTTGTTGAAGGAAAATTAGTTAAAAATAAAATTTTATATGGAAAGTTCATTCAGAATTATGTGATAATGACTTTTTTTTTTTAAATTATAAGGATAGATTACGACAGTAATCCCCAGCGACAGAGGGAGTGAAGACCCAGAAGGTCACATTCTCCTTGGATGTTGAGATTTTTTTTTTTAATTTTACTAACATAAAGAAAATATTTAAAATAAAAAAAATTATAAAAATATTATTAGAGTGAAATGACAATAATATTTAAAAAATTATGAGAACAATAATAGTTGTTTAAATTGAAAATGAAGAGACTACTATAAACCAAATTATTTATAAAAAAATTTGAATACAACGGTGATGTCATTATTATTGACACACAAGTATAAGTAATCTCACTATAAAGATATAAAATTTATTGAATTGTTATTTACATTTAACATGTGAGGTTCACTTTCTATGTGTTTATGTACTATTAGTTGATAATGGCCCTGTTTGGTAGGGCTTATTTCCAGCTTATTTCAGCTTTTAGCTTAATTTAAGCTATTTTGATGTGTTTGGTTCGGCTTAACAATACAGCTTATACCTTTTTGTAAGTAAAAAATCAATTTATTCTTTGAGTGGGGGAGGAGAAACTTAATTTATAAGTAAAAAATCAGCTTATGTTTCCAGCTATAAGCTATAAGCTGTTAGGCTATAAGTTATAATCACTTTCCCACAGCTCTACCAAACAGGGCCAATATCACATATCAATGATGACGTAGTACTACTATTATATTAAATTTTTAATCAAATTTTGTATAAATTTTTTTTTATCATTATATAATTTATTTTAGGACTTATATCCATATAATTTTTTTGTATTGTTTATGATACACTAGTTACAAATAACATTATTTTTTTGTTGTTTCTCGCAATCAATCGTAAAAACTTGCGTGAAATATTTTTGTAAAAATTTTTGATATTGTAATTAATAA